ATTAATTGGAAGTTTTGAGCGTTTGTCTAGTAAGTGCTGAAGTAATCGTAAACGTCAAGCAGTTTCTTGTCGTTTCAGTCTAGTATGAGGATTCAAAGTTAGTCGATTGTCCAGGTGGAGTCCTAGGTATCACATTTGTTCAACAGGGATAAGTGGAGTATTGTTAAATGAAACTGAAGGACAGGAAGTCGTTGGTTTACGATGTTATTTACCTTCAATTTCAATTTAATAAGATATTAAAATAAGATATTAAGATGCTCTGATGAGTATCTTGTAAGAAATGAATAATAATAATTTTTCAATACATATCGTACTTAAAAATTATCAGAAATAAAATGTTGTATTATATTTTTATATTTTATTCAATGAAACAGACAGTTTTTTAAAAACAAAATAGCCATGAATATATTGTAGTTAACTCAAGTCAATTTTTATACTTGTTCATAAATGTTTGCAATTGTTAACAGCAACTGAAATAGATGCTATCTTCTGCTCAGAATCACAGCCACTTAAATCAAATGATACTGGTAAGTTTTGTCACTCATTTCACACTGTATTGAATTTTACAATTATTTTTTGACAAAATCATGTTCTATACAATTTTATTTTAAAATCCTTTTATTAAAATTTATTCCAATTTCCAAAAAGACTCTTTTTTTTTAAACTCACACATTATACGAAATTATACATACTGTACGCCAATGTAATTTGCCCTGAATTACATTTTCAGTGTGTTTAACTATTTATTTCAGTTATTAATTATAGTATTAATAAGTTATGTTAACTAATTGTTATTAATGTAGCATTAAAAATTATTCTAGAGCCAGGTGGTGTTGTCCTGCAACAAAAAAGAGAATCAGAAGCTTCCCAAAAAAAAGAAAAGCGACCTGAAGGTAATTAAAATAAATAGTCTGGATCTGGTTTTTAAATTTAGAACTCTGCATTATGAAAAAATTAAAGATAGATAGTCATCTGACAAATTGAGAATTGGTTAAAAAAACTTCAAACAACCTTGAAATTTATCATATTTATTACAATTTTAATATCAATGATATTATTTAATATTTATATGAAATTAATGTAATAAAAAAAAGTTCTTCATTAATGAAATTATAATTAGAAACTTTATTCTCATAATAAATTTTTACAGGATATTCATAAATGTTTGCAATTGTTTACAGTGGATGAAACTGATGCAGTCTTCCGCAAAGAGTTCCAATCATCAAAAACAAAAAAATCTAGTACGTTATGTTACTCATTTCTAATTATTTGATTTGTTGTTTTAATAAAATATCAAAAATTTTCTGGTTATACAAAGTGCTCATGACCTAATTTAAAAACAAATAAAACTTATAATGGTGCAGATATTGTTAACCGCATAGTGAAATAACATAATAAATTTTATTTAATCAGAAATTTTATTATGTGCCTAAGTTTTGGCTTTTGGGGAGAGGGAGCTAGGTGCGAAATGCATCAGAATCTCTGATTCACCCTTATGAAGTCCTAAAACTTAGGCTCTTATAAAACTTCTTCCCACAATAAAATAAGGTTTCTTATTAATATGTTCTTTTACCTTTGATCGCACCCTCCAACCAGCTTTTTCTATAAAGCTTATTATAATTATGTAATAAAATTGTAAACATTATGAATTTATGCTATGTTTTTCTTAATCACTAGTTTTCTCAGAAACCTCCCTGTATCCCAAAAATTATTATTATTATCTAATATAATAAGTCAATGCAACTTTCTCCACTTTAAATTTTATTTCTATTCTATTGTTTATTTTAGTTAACTGTGTATTATTGATTTTAGAGGGTGGAGCTCAAAAGCAAAAACCTTCTCAGAAGAAACCTCATAAAACATCTCTGAGAAAAAATACGAAAAAAGAAGAAAAACCTCAAGGTAATTAAACTTAAATAATTTAGTATACAAAATGATGTGCGAGGGGTTGAGAATCTGATAGTAATAATTAAGTTATCTCTCAAATTTTACGTCTTTAAAATTTATATTATGTAATAAATAAATTAATGTAAGAAAAATTATAAATATTTTTAATTGTTATGAGATTTAAATTTATAAAATGAAAGTACTATATCATGAGAAAACTCTCAAATCAAATTAATTTGTAATGTAATAATCATATTTACAAAAATTAATCCTTGCTAATTTGGAGTAAAATTTATTGTTTTTTTTTTTTTTTTAACTTTATTGGTCTTTTATATTTTTATAATAAAAGCTTTAATAATTCAATTCAAAATTTGGTTTTTAATTGCAATATTCAATTAGAAATATCTAAAGTTTTATCTCATGATACTTTCGTGATGAAAGTTAAGTTATAATCGAATGTGAATGATAATCATTTTGTTATTTCCAGAATTGAGTCCTGATGCAATGAAATCCTTGTTGGGTGGAGGAGGCCACATTTTAGGATGAAAATATGTTACAAGATTATATTAGCTAGATAAGATTAGTTAAATTACACTTTTTTTATTTTTAAAAATACAGAAATCTAATTGTAAAAAAACAAATGCAGATTGTTACTTATTTTTTATTCTTTCATGTATAGATAGATTAAATAAATTAAGTAATACAAAAACTTTTATGGCTTTATTATTGAACCAGAAAGGATAAATAGAACCTAAAGTATTTACATATTTATTAAAACATATGACTGATGCAGGATGAAAAAAAATCACTTTTGAAGGTTTCAAGATATTTAAAAAAAAATAGTTTATAGGTTCCAAGGAGCACCAACACCAATTGTAATGATTTATGGTGAAGAACCACTTTAATACTGTTAAATATATCAATAAAACTTTTGATAACATTTGAGATATTAACGTTGGACAACTATGAACTCGTTTTTCTCAAAACTAAGTTTGGAACTGTAAATTGGTTTAACCCTAGTACTCTTCTCTTCTCTATGCCACAACGTAAAACTTTTCATTTGGTAGAAGTATTGTCTCAAATTTATTTAAAAAGTGTTTTACATAATATTTATGATATCACATTATTCCTGTGATGAAAATGAAAATTTTACACTGCAAATATTGAATTAATGGGTTGAGTAAATCACAAAAACAAAAAAAAAAAACAGTTTTTATACTTTGAGTTAATTAATGAGTTCTGCTCCTACTTATAAAACAAAAACTAATTAGCAAGTATTTTGATATAAATTGTTTGGTGCTATTGAAATATTTGTAAATTATATTAACAATATTAAATTTACTTCTATTGGCTAATCAATTTATGTCAAGCTCTATCTCATAACCCCATGCTCAAATTAAAATCATCAGAAAATTATTAGTCTGACCTTGCAGTGCATTGGATTATTATTTTATTTTTTTTTTCAATCGTTCACTTTCTCAGGACAAATGTTTAGTTCAAACTTAGAGAACGCCAAAAGAATTGTTCATAATTATGAACAGTCATAGGAAATAAGACTATAAATCTAAAAACATTTAAATAGCTGATGTTAAAAAAAATATTGACAAAATGAAGATCTTTTTTCAACTTACAAAAATAATTTAGGAGGTACTGGAATTATAATTATATCAACCACATAAACATATCAACCACATTATACACACCATTGTGGGAGTGGGGTAGCTCAGTGGTAGGGCACTGAGCTTCCAATGCAAAGGTCCTGAGTTCGAACCCCGGCTCATGGCAGAAAATTTATTTATCTGTTTCATTGGCCGTGGGGCGACCTTGGGTCAGAAGTCCCTCCTGAGGCACACCCAGCCTCTATAAAGTGGGTACCCTTAATTTAAAATAATTGATTAAGGGGGAAAACCTGGCGGTTGAGCGTGATCTCGGTCAAATCACCTCCTTGCACAACGGTTGACCTAGAAACAGTGCTTTCCCTGAATAGTACTGAACCCCAGATCCTTCATGGGTTGTAGTGGTACAGGTTTTATCGACCACATAAAAATGTTAGGAAGTTCAGATGCAGACTAATTCATTTCCTGTCATGGTATGTGTATAATACTAAAATAAGAATAGATTTTTGGATTTAATTACAATAATCAAATTGTACAACTGAAATAACATTTAACTTAATTTTATTTGGGGATATCATCTTTCTCACATCAAATCATGTCGGTTTACATCCTACGATGATATTTGATATTAATACTTTCAATAGTGTATTTTTCTTTCAAAAATTAGGTGATTGTTCACATGCAACTGATATAAAGAAAAAAAAATTATTCTTAGGCGATTTGGTTATTGTTTCTTTAGAGTAATAAATGAAAAATCTTTGGCCTAAAAAAGATTGGTATAAGGAAAATATTGCATCTACACAAAGAATATATTTACGAAGCACCTAGTATATTTATAAAAAACATTGTTGACGTTTTTATAAAATGAATGTACTGAAACGTAAGCTTGGAAACATAGTAGGGAAACGTAAATTAAAATTATTGAAGTACATGTATCTAAAATATTTGAGACTTGTTAGTAACAATGAACCAACATTTTTTTACATAATAAATTGTGAAAAATATTTTTAAAATATAATGCCACCAGAAATTTATGATAAGCAGAAGAGATTCGCCATAATTAAAAGGGGCGGACAAAAAGAACAGGAAGACAAGTTAGTCTCAATAGAAACCACGGAAATGGAGAGGAAACTCAATTGGAGAAGCGCAGAAGTCCAGCTTCCGTGGTATTAATGGCCAGCGAGGAAGGTTGGTGTCCTCCAATGGCTGGATTGGAGACTTCAACGGTGGATCAACTCGGAGAAGAATAGAAAAAGGTAATTTTAACGCCTGAGAATGGTGGAAAACCGGAGTCGGAGATCTTAATAATTGAGAAGATATTGCCTCCAATGACGATGACTTATTGCTGAAGCAAGTATGGCTGTTATCGCTGATCAAGGGTTTGATTCGAACGATGGAAAGGATGTCTCGTCAGAACTCATAAATGGATTGTCAACTAAAAGTGTCTAAGGAAACTGAAATTCAGCCTGAAGTGACAAAATGGTTAAAGGAGAGGAAAAGGGACCCTTCTGCTCGGTTGCGGAGACTGGGCCGCTTGAGATCAGACAACAGAAAAGTATACAATAATTAACCGGATGCAATTCTGTAGGAGAAAGAGTCTCAAAACCTGATCTGTCTGGCAGAAGTCAGGCATGACCAGATCGCAATACTTCCCTTACCTAATAGCGGTAGCAAACTAATAAAACATGAGTAAAAAATAAAATGCGCTATACCATTGCTATTATTGGTTGGATTCCGACAAATTGTGTTTTGTTATATATGGAATCTAATTAATTTCCTTATGTACAGATTATGTATAAATTTTACTGTAGAATGTATACCTTTTTAATTAGGCCCAAAAACATTTTTGTTTTCTTTATAACTTTTTTCCTAAATTTTCTGGGGAATTCACTGCAGGGACGAAAATTGAAAGGACTTTAGATAGAAGATTGTAGTAAAGTTTCATCAAAATCGTTAGGGTTATTTTTGCGCTTCAGTCTATGGGAGATCATTTATGTCTCCCATTGTGCAGCCACTCGATATATTTCAATAGGCACGGTAGTCAAAACCCTATTAAACAACTAAAGAAACAACATAATCGACTAACTCGTTCCCGAGATAATCTTGTCACAGACAGACCAATGGCTGAAAATGTGTTTGTCGGACTCACGGGGCTCTGAAACATGAAGATCCGTTGAAAATCGTAAATCGAAAATTTGACTCGATCACAATTCTTTCCCTGCCCAGTAGCGGCAGAAAAATAACAAACAGATTCTTTCAGAAATTCTAGTGAAAATTATTTAAGTTTTTTGTTTTTAACTGAATTTTTAATTTGACGAAATGTGTTACGTTATTAATTTTATAAAACAAGTCCTGGGCTGATTTATTAAAGACTATTCTTAGAGTTAAATAATAATAATAATAATTATTATTTTAATAATAATTAACATGAAAACTATGCTATTAACTAATAACCTATGATAGAATGCTATTAGTCCATACATAATAAAATAATTTATCATCAACCGTAATCAGTGTGGTTGAATCATGTAAAAAGTAAGCAAAATGAAACATATACCATAAAATAAATAACATACAAGATAAAATATAATTTAAAAGAAAGTAGACTTTTTCATTGTTAAAACAATTTAAAGAGGACTTTTGAGTGTCTAAACACAGCTAAGTTCCGTTTTAAAAAAAGTCATTAATTATTTGTGATTTTTTTCCTCACCCTTCAACTACATTTACCCCACTCTTACAAAAACTTCCTCGTTTAATAGAATTTAAGACCATATGGATTAAACTGAGTTTTATTAGGAAACATTTTGAGATTCAACTTAAGTTGTGTCAAGAAACTATGTGATTTCCTACCCAGTCACCGTTAAGTATCCGTGTTTCCTGCAAATTTGACAACAATTATCTGTTGCAAAACTTTTATTTCGTGTTTTTCTGTGATATGAGATGTGTTATAATAAACATAATTGCCTAAAAACACATTTTACTTATAAATATAAAAAAAATTAAAAATAATGCTTCTTAAATATTTTTTACTTAAAGTGGTCATGAAATTGTGTTTTTCTTCTAGATCTTCGTCATAGGAATTGATATGTATTTATCGGGGACAAAATTATTTTTTTTTTTTACTAAAATAAAGAAATCTACTGATTGCTTAAATTATTTTCATGAAAATTCAAATATTAGGGCTATAAACATTTATTTACACAACCTAAGGTGAATCTCACAATTTTTCCAAATAAACCTCACTTTAATTCATATGGACTTCATTCTTATCAAACGAAGAAGTATTGTAAAAGTGGGGTAAATGTAGTACAATTAAAGGGTGAGAAAAAAATCACAAATAATCTATGTTTTTTTTTTTTTTTAATGGAACTTAGCTGTGTTTAGCCGCTCAAAAGTCCTCTTTAAGTAGTTTTAACAATGACAAGCTCTATTTTTTTTTTAAATTAAATTTTATTTAGTTTACTATGGGGCAGTGTTTCATTACTTAAATCAAATAATTTTTAAGTTATCGCTTTCTATTCAACAAAAAACGTGACTCGCTTAAAAACACAAATCTTAAATTTCCTATTTGGAAATTGGCCAATTGTTTATTTGAACTTTCTTGTAGATGTGTAAAATCAATCTTTTGAATATTTTCCTCTACTTACGGAACTTAAGAAGAAGAAACTAAATTAACTACTAGTTGGAAGACAGAAATTTAAAAATGTTCAGCATTATTGAATGAACATTTCGAATAGTTTTCTTCTAGTTCCATAGTTCCATTCAATAGTTTCGTACTAAGTGTTATTTCATTTTCCAAAATCAGTAACTATCCATAATAAAGTATCTTTGAAAAATGTTGTTTTATATTTTAAATGATGTTCCAAAATTTGATTTTAAAATGTATAAAAATGCGGAGAATACAATGAATTAACCAATACCCCATTTTTATGCAATTAAATTATAATAATTTATAAAAGTAATGTATATTAGTAAGTTTTTAACGCACTTCTTCCGAAAATAGATTTACATATTGCCTTGATTAATAGACCACACGGTCTATCTATTTGAGAGCATTAAAATAATAATAGAAAAGACGATGCTCTAGTTGAAGTAGAAGCGAAATTATTAGACCAATCTAATCGAAATTAGTTTTTCGGTCCTACACGGCCAAATAGTGCAACAGAAAGAGTTTCATTTTTTATTCCTTGTAGCTCGAACGTAAAGAAACATAAGAAAATGTCAAACGTAAAGAAAAATTTCATTTTTGTGGGATATAATTGAAACCAATCAAACAATTGCACATGTTTAAAAAAAGCCTTTGTGTACCATTCATTTACAATTTGTTTGAAAATAATTACATGAAATAATTGTTTTTCTCTTTATTGAATTTTATTTCAGCAAATATTGCTTACTTACTTCATAAATGATGGAACCTCATTTTCATAGAAACGATTTGAAAAGATTTTTTTACATGACTACTCGTTTATTTCGAAATTATTATAGAAACATTTTAATACTTACAATTAATTTATTTGAAACTGGTCAGATAGCGGTTCGATTTATGTGCACGTCGCCCGATAACACTTTACCGCTCGGCATTCACGGTTTAGTGAATAGCTAAGCTGAAGGGTTTCGTATTATTCAGTTTAAAATGTTTGATTTTTGTAGTGAAAACTTCTTTAGGCGCGATTTGGACTTTTTCGTGGAGAGTGAATTAGATTGAGCCGTCAGATATCCGATGAGTAATGATCGGTTGACTAATTTAATTGTTTTTGCATATAGATTAAAATATACAGTATGATTGTGTGGTCTACAATTTTATATATATATGTATATCTTTACTATATTGTATTTTGTCAGTTTACTTATTTTGTTTATCTCGTTTATATGGTATGAAAAAAAAATCATTGTCACTATTGTTTATTTCCAACTATTAATAGAACATACGTAATTTAATAAATAATATTAGTGGTACTTTCTACATACATTCAAGCTGATAATTTCACTCTATCAATAAATTATACTAGCCTACAAAATTAGCATGCGAAAGCATACACATCAAAGCTATTTTAGAACTCTTAAAAGTAATGAAATTATTCTTTCATCTTTGACAGAACTGCCACTGCTGAGTAGATAAATCGAAAGATCTGTAAGAAACAAAAATAAAATATTATTAAATTAAAATATTCCTTTCATATTCAAGTTATCAATATTTAAAAATTAAAAGTAACAGATAACAAATCTTTAACAGTATAGAAGCCAATCAATCTCTAGATCTGCCAAATTAAAACCTATTTTAAACCTTTGAAACTAATCTGCATACTTTGTTAATACCATAATACCAATTAAAGGCAAAACAATATATATTACTAATCAGCTATCATATATAAGAACGATTCCTTACTAGAAATCAGATCATAATGATCATATGATTCTTTTTCATAATTCACTTTTATATTAAATGAGATATCTCGAGTTTAGGAATGGAAAATAGAGAGCTATAACTTCCTAAATCAGTAAAAACTCAAGAATGACAATCAGAGGAGAGAGAGATAAAGGTCCTCTTCCCTTCCCTCTCCTTCAACCCCCTCCCCCCCCAAAAAAAAAAAACTTATTTTATTTCTTACTAAAAAGGACTAGTACACTTTAGTAAAAAAAAGTTACCCTATAACCAAATCACATTTATAATCGATACACTAGTTACGTTAGTATACTTCATATGAGTGTGTATACATACATGAGTGAGGCTGTGTACATATATAAACCTCTCTCCCAGTTTGAAGGTAAACTTTATACTCCATAATCGGATTTTGAAAATGTTTTTGCAGTACTCCATACGCGGCTTTTCTGTAAGATTAGCTAACCTAATTTTATTTTTATTTTTTTTGGTTAAGAAAGTAATGTTAAAGATAAATGAATTGAAGTGAAACGCCGTGATCACTGATACGCCTATAGTATTTGTACGAGGACAAATATTGGTGTAGTTGGCAAATATAACTTCCTTATGATTATTGTTTACTTTTTTTGGTACAGTCTGTTCAGCATTTCGATAAATGTTCTCCCCACCGTCAGAAACACAACAACGCACAATATAATAACAGTTGTTGGTTAATAAAGAAATGTAAGAATATATCCCGAATATGTATAATGATAGATCATTAACAAACAATTTTTATATATTGACAAAAGGAGCATGAACAAAACAAAAAAAAAAACAGAGACTGGCCAGCAAATAAAAATAATATTTCTTTCTAATGATGAAACGGTTAACAGAATAACAACAAATAATTATAAACATATGAAACTTACAGCTACCAACTACAACGCTAAAACAAGACAATACCAAAACATGAAAATACAGGAAAATTAATAAATTATTAATTATTAAATAAATAATTTAATTCCTCACTGCCGTACCAGGTATATGCAAATAATATGCCATGCTATAATTTTACAAATCAACATTGCAAAACGAAAAAAAAGGACAAAATCCAAAAATAAAATCTTTGTTAGTTAATTTTTTTTTCTTCTCTTTAATTATTTATCCGCACCTCTCATGGTGTTGACAATTAGCAGATGTGTTCTGATGATGAGGATAGGCATTAAAGGCATGGGGAAGGATAGTACCCAATAGCACCTCTTCCTGGTCATTATTTACATTTTTTTTTTTTGTTTAGGTGAGAAGATCTCTCATCCAGCTCCTTTTTAATCTCCTCCTAATGGGCATGTCAGTCGTAGCCATGTCGGTTATAAATCTGTTTGTGTGTCCGTGTAGTTTGAGATGAAAACGAGAGTAGAGAGTACGTATGTGTTGGTCTATAGTTGGTTGTCGTAAGTCGTTATGTAAAGTTTTGTTGTTGACGTACCAGGGAGCTCCTGTTATAAGTCGTAAAATTTTGGATTGAAATGACTGTAGTTTTTGTATGTGCGTCTTTTTTGTCGAACCGTAAATCTGAGAGGCGTATGTTCGGATGGGTTTAAGTAGGTAAGTGTATGTATTTAGTTTTTGTCGAACTTTCAGTTTCGATTTAGAAAAGAGTGAGTACAGTATTTTCAGTCGTTTGTTTAAGGCGTGTGGGCCCCAGGTCATCCTTCTGTCGAATATTAGTCCCAGGTAACGTACTGTGTTTGTCTGAGGAATTTCTCTCTTATATAAACTGGTGAGCACGTTTCTCGTCGAAGTGTAAATGTTATATGCTGTGACTTGTCATGATTTAATCTTATTTTCCAAAGTGGGTACCAATTTTGTAAAGTCAGTAAATGATTTTGTAAATTTATTGAGGCTAGTCTGGGGTAATGGTGTTTCGTTAAAATTGTTTTTTTCCCTATCCGACAAAGCCCATGAACCATTCTCTTTTCGCAGGGGTACTGATACCTCTCGATGTTTTAACAAATTCTTGGTATGCCTCCACAAACTTCCATTGTCAGTCGATAGGCTGTTCAAGTAAGCATCATAGTTTGTCGCATTGAATTTTTGTATTAGTCGTTTAAGTTCGTTGTACAGTCTGTTAAATATTCGTTTATATGAAAAAAGTCTGTTAGTCTACCTTACGAGCTCTTCTCTTTGCCGTGATCAAGTCCCTTATATACTGAGGGTATCTGGTAAAATGTTCTGGCATTGGAAGTGCTGAAGTCCAAGCAGTTTTTTGAACATTTTTAGTAAATTTGTCAACTGCCTCATCTAGTTCTTCCTCAGTTTTAATTGATCCAGGGATTGACAGTTCTGAATCCAGAAATGTCCTAATTTTTAACAATTTTTGTTAATTTTTTAACATATAAATAATAACTAACTTCTAACAAATACAGTTTTCATTTGTATGCTTTATATTGATAAATAAGCCTTATAGATTGTACATGTCTCTTTTCAAAAACAGTTCTTCAATAACTTGAAAATTGTCCTTCTTTACAATGAAATATATTTTTCTAGATTTCCGTAGTCTCAATATGTAAAAAATGAAGACAATTTAAGTTGATACAATTAAGAGTATTCTACGTTGGATACTCATTCAAGCATTTTTTACTTTCACTTACGTATATATGTAATATATAGTAAGTGTAAGTATTGCGATCGAGAAAATTTTTGAATCTGAGTTTTCGACGGATTTATACGTTTTGAGGTACCCTGAGTCGAAATGACCAAGTCCCGACAAATGGTCTGTGTGTCTGTGTGTTTGTATGTTAGCAGTCTAGCTCAAAAACGAAAAGTCCTATGAAACTGATATCACGTATTTAAGATAGGTATATGCCTTAGTTGTGACGGCAACTTTTTCCTTAAAATCGGCTAACCGGAAGTGCCACTTTATATCAACGCTGAAACACATTTTCACAGTTTTCTCAAAAAACGGCTCTAACGATTTTGATTAAACTCGGTGTATCATTGTATAATTAAGTGGTCTTTAATATAAATTAGGTCTTATCCCCATTGATGTCACTTTACAGGGCTTAAATGCCCAATGTTCATATACGTCTTCCTCTAAAGTACCTTTAATATGGTTTATTTTAAAAAGATAATTATTTCGCATTATTCAGAGTTACGAAAAAATGCTAAATATAACTTTTGAAAGAATTTGATAAGTTAATAAAGGAGAAAAAAAATAAAAATGCAGAAAAACGTAGCTATAGACTGTAGCGCCTAAACGAATGTACCGATTTCATTGAAACTTCGCTAAAGTCATTTTCTCGACACCCTTCAAATTTATCTATATAACATTCATCAGCGAAAAGAAGCTGAAAAAAAGTTACGAGGGATGGTAAAATTAAATTCCGAATAACTCAAAAAGTATACACTTTTTGGGAATGTTGTATATGGTTTTCTAAAAGTTTATGGAATAGCCTAAAAAACAAAAAAAAAATCGTTAAAATCGGATAATTAGGAGATAAGATATGGTCTCTAGTTTTTTTTTAATACGTTCTGCTGCAATGGTTATATCCTTTGTTTCGGTTTTTGAATTTTGAATGTGTTAATAAGGTAATGCTAATTTTTTTAAAATGTATTTAAAATCCACCTAAGCAAGTTGATGGCATTGTTAAAAAAACTATTTCAGTGTACTTGTGTGAAAGAAGAAATAAAATATAAAATCATTTCATGGATGTATAAATCATGTGTTTATAATATTAAATACATTTACTGTAGTTTAGTAATTATTTATTAAATTTTAAATTGGTCCATAATCGTCTTATCTTTTTGGCTACATTCAAGGAATTGCTGTGTTATATATGTGTGCGATGTTATATTGCGTTCCTGGCGTTTGAGAATTTAAAGAGAAAAAAGGAATTTTTTTTTTATTTTGGGAAAGTGTTTATTATGCTATGTCTATTGTTTAATATGGTTTATTGTTGATAATTTGTAAGAGTATTGTTATGAAGGGGAAGAAAAAAAAAAGAAAAATATAATATAAAATTAATGTCCGTATGGATTGATAAGTATGCTGTGTACGAAGCAACCCTATGTAGTAGGGCAGCATTACTTTTAATAAAGTATTTCTCTATAAATAATTAGGTATTAAAGTTAATACCAAAATATTGTCATATAACTTTTTAGAAAACTAAATTAGTGAATAATTCGATAGATCTTTTCTTTGTGATATTCCTCTACCTTATTGTACTTGTGTGAAAAAAGAAGTGAAATACAAAAATATTTCATAGATACGTTTATAACCCTAAATATATTTACTGTAGTTTAATAACTCTAGATCTCATAATATATTTAAATATTTAGATATCTATTGTCCGTTTATTCCGAAAAATCATCATGTAACCTTTTAGAAAATTAAATTAGTGAATAGTTTGATAATTCTTCTTTTTGCGATATTCCAACAGAATCCACTTACAATTAGTGTGACAACTTTTGACCTGTCTATGACAGACACTGCAAATCTCTTAATTCCGTTTTAATAAACTTTGCAATGGAAAATAACAGTTTAATGACTTATAGTCGTACAATCCATAATCAATGGATCGAACAATCCATAATCAACGAATCGTACAATCCATAATCAACCGGTGATATAATAAATAGGACTTTTGTTATTTTAATAGCATTTGTGATTTTTTGGCTTTAGCTCAGTTTAAAATGCAATTTAAAACATTTTATAATAGCCTAACATGGCCAGAAAATAATTTTTATTCAAAGTTCAAAGAGTAAGTGAAAGTTGTGTATTGCGCGCAACAGATTTTTAAAATCATGTACGCGAATGATACTATCTAAAACAATTCGTTTTTGTTTTTTTTTTCTCGAATAAAACAGGTATGAATTTGGCTAAAACTATTTAATGAGAGTTTCTGTTGAAATTCTGTAAATTGTTTGGAATAAAATTCGGGATTCGTTAAGCAAAACTTACTGCAATCATTGTCTCCATGTTAACTGGATACATTTTAAGAGCAGTTAAAGTAACAGGTCTCTTAGCTCTTATCATAATCATTTGTGCCGTGGTAGCGAACGCCTTATCGGCTGAGTACCAGTCACTGCTGTAGACGCTATCTTGTATTGCCATACTCTGAAAAAAAAAGGATAAAAAAAACTAACACATGACCATTTAATGAGTTTTAAATTGGTCGTCAAAATCTTGCCAATTATGAAAATTTAACAACATGGTCGATGATAACAATAACAGTAATAATTATAAATATAATAAGCAACAATAACATTAAGATAATATTGATGTAATAATAATACAAAATTAATTAATTAATTACTGGATTTAAATACTAAGGTATCTTAGAAAATCTTAATATGCTTTAAATCTTCCTTCAGAAATACTAATCAAGAATTTTCCATCACAACAGATCTCTATTTATATAGGAGATAGGTCCCGTAAGTAGTGGAATATATTTAGAGGGGGGTAGTCAGGGTTTGAAATCGATAATTAAGGAAATAAAAATAAAATTTGATCAAAATTTTTATCTGAAATTTTTAAAAATCATTTGTTGATTTTTATTAAAAGATATTTTTATTTTTAATAATGAGTGATAAAAATCATGACGTCCTGATCATTATTTATGAACAGCATTTTTATAATTAACAATAATAATAATTCTCGAGAAATACTTTTTTAAATCAGAAATAAAATTTTTTTTGTAATCTCTATGATATATTTTGAGTCTGGAATAGTAGGTGGAGAATATTCTTGTCAGCTATTAGCAACAGAACATCTTTATTTCCGAAATTAAAAAAAATGTAAATATATATATATATTGCAGTTACCGCATGCACAATTAAAAAAATATAATATTAAAAAATGTGATAGAGAGATACTGAAAGTGGTGAGATATATCGCAACAGATTTTTAGTTAACTTTCATTTATTTATTTTATCCTCTTTCTTCATTTAAATTAGCACAATATATATATACTGTTTACAATACATTAACTATCAATATAATCTATCAACTAGCGTAAACTAATTACAGATTTTTTTTTTTTTTGTGTTCATCATTATTGTATTATTATCCTATTAATAACAGAAAGGTTGAATATATCACCACAATCTTTGAAAATAACATTTTTAAAATTTATTAACTTCCAAAGATTATTAAAAGTATTAAATATGTAAACTATGAATACTTGAATATTAAAGTGCATAGAGATTACGCTTAATTTATAATATTAAGAAATAACATATCAAACATTTTTTTTTCTATAAGAGAAGAGCACCTATTTTTTTCTTAAAAAATAGCAAAAATTTTCTTATTTTGTAATTGATATCGTAAACCTCTTACCTTATGAAATGAAATCTATATTTGGAAAAATATATCAGCTAAATGATTTCGCTCAATATTTAAAAATAGTAGTTGAATTTGTGATATATTATAATTTAATTCTCAACATTTATTGTCATATCTACAAATTATGTGTTTTTTTTCGATTAATTCTTCTTATCATAACGACACTAACCTATAAACTCACGTTTCATGTAATTTTCTTGAGAAGATTTTTAAAAACTGTAAAATTATTTAATAGAAATTATTTTGAGTTTTGTCTCGCTAGATTGCCATGGGCGTCCATCAAAACCTACATTTTTGAACTCCAAGAACATTAAAGCTTTAAATTAACTATGCAATGTTTCGATTAGATACTTACGTTATTCGGATATTATACTTTAGGAAATTTAAGTAGTAACATTTCTCTTAAAAATAGATCAATTCTTTCAACACATACCAATAAAGCAATTTTTTCAGCTTACAATGCGATTAAGTGCGAAATTTGTATTACATTCATTATCCAGATGAGATATGTTGTTGAGATCGGTTGTATTATTAATAAAAAACAATATGACATATTTTATACCTTATGCAAAAACACTTACAGCGGATTCGACAAAAGAGGATGAAACGCACAATAACGTGATTTCGATGAGTGCAAAAGAAAAGTACATCATCAATTTGAAAGTAGAAAGCGCATCGCTGGAAACCTATAAAAAAAAAAGGTTATCGTTATCTACATACCTTATGGAGAATTTTTTATTGGGTCTATCACCTATCAGATCACCCATACCATTTTTTAAATTTTTTCTTGGTGTTTAAAATTATGGTTAAAATGTTTACATTTTCTTTGCGGCCATTTTGAATCCGCTTTTTGGCTGAAAATTTATTATGGAAAAACGTCTCTTGTAATTTTACAAATATCAAACGAAATGCTCTACTATATGTAATATATAGTTAAGGAAATTATTGTGATAGAGAAAATTTTCGAATCTGATCTTTCAACGGAAATACAGGTTTTGAGGTCCCCTTAGTCCAAATAATCAAGTCCCGCAAAATGTTCTTATGTATGTGAACAGTCAATCTCAAAAACGAAAAGTCGTACGAAAGTGAAATTGCATATTTAAGGTCTGTATATGCTTCAGATGTTACAGCAACTTTTCAGAATCGGATAACCGGTAGTGCCACTTTATATCAACGGTGAAACACATTTTATCAATTTTGGTCAGAAACGGCTTTTGATTAAACTACATGTATCATTGTATAATTAAGTGGTGTTTAATGTCTTTTAGATCTTAGTCCCATTATGTCACTTTACGGGACTTAAATGCCCAATTTTCATATAATTATTCCTCTAAAGTAGCTTTAATATGGTTTATTTAAAAAGATTTACTCCATTTTACTGACAGTAACTATAAAAAATTGCTCTTAATATGAAGTTTGAAAGAATGTGATGATTGGAAACTGGAGAAAAATGCTTATCCAGGTTGAAAATGAATCTCAGGAAATAACAGGCAGGAAGTATAAGTATAATATATAGTTAAAAAGCGAAGAATTTTAGAAAAATGATATCTAATAAATAAAGTTGTAGAAGATAAGGGAGAGTGACGAAAAAAATCTAAATATTCATTTCAGAAAACTAATATTGTTTAACGTAAATCACATGTTTCCAAGTAAATTAAATGAAATTTTCTTATTAAATATAAACTTTTAAATTTTATTTAATTTTGAAAAAAAAAGTATTTAAAATCCACTGAATTGAGCCAATGAATGCCATTTTTCTCTATAAAGATATTTCATGAATATGTTTATAGCTTTAAATACATTTACTGAAGTTTAATAACTCTAGATATGGAATTATATTTAAATAATTAGGTATCTATTGACCGTTTATTCCAAAAAATCACCAAGTAACCTTTTAGAAAATTAAATTAATGTATAATTTGATGAATTTTCCCTTTGTGAAATCCCAACATTATCCACTTACAATTAGCGTGACAACTTTTGACCTATCCATGGCAGGCAATGAAAATCTGATAATTTCATTTTAGTAATCATTCCAATGGAAAATAAAAGTTTAATAACTAATAATCCTACAATCCATTATTATTTATAGGTTAAATATTCGGATATACTTTTAAATTTCTCTAGGCATTTATGAATCTTTCGGTTAACAGAATGACTAACTCCAATTTCAACAGTCTTTAATATTAATTTTAGTGGTGTTTCTGGTGGCGAAATTTACAACTTTATCCACTGTTCTATATTTCAACACTGCAATCACCTACTCTGGAATCAACTTACTCACTGTCTGTATAGATATAACTTTTCCAACTAGAAATATTACTAAAATTACATTACTCAAAGATGTTGAAAGTAGAGTTAGGCTTTCTGTCAACTGAAAACTTCAGAGAATGAATATTCAAAATCGACTTTCTTATTTTATTGTATTTCTTTTTTTTTTTTTTTTTTTGTTCAGAATAAGAAAATTTTATTTACTACTTTATTAAATGAGTTTTAATGTATCATAAATTACAAAAACCAATTTTTTCGTTAAAAAACAGTTAGATTCGTTTTTAGTGTCCTTTCAAACTCTTAAATACAATTATTTATATAAATAAGAAATTACAATATTTATTACTAATTTTCTTAGAGGATTTTTATACCAGCCAATAAATAAAGAATTGTAAGAAATTTCTCAGGATTTTCTCTATATTCAACATTAGTACAACTGTTGGAAAGCAGAATTACTGCTCTTTCGGCCCACATCGATAATTTTTAGATTTCATTCTTTTTTAAACTAGATATTACGAAAAACTTCTCAATCATTTTTATATTGTACCTTTAGTTCTAATTTGTTTACGGAGGTCGGTTTTGAGCCCTAAATTCCTAATCATTTTTGTGTGGACCGGTGTAGCCGTTCTAAAGTTACCACGATTTTTGTGTTGTCGACAATATTTCGAAGGAGGTCAAATGGCCAAATGAAAAGAATGATTTAGTAAAATTTTAAAAAAAAATGTGTGTAAATAACTGATTATAGAGTTATGACAAAAAAATCTATTAGGTGATTTAAAATTGTAAAATATGTGTAAATAACTGATTATAAAAATTTCAACAAAAAAATTTAAATTGGGTGATTTCAGTTTGATTAACTCTATTACAATTTATTCATTACAACTTACAAACATTAAGAACAGAATTGTGAGAATATAAGCACTAATATATCCAGGCCGAGAGTGATGGTAGTAATTGTATTGTATGTGGTTTGAAATTGTAGCAATATCTGTAAAAAACAAAATTGAATAAAATGGTCCAATTTCCACTAACGTGAAAAATTTCCAAGGCGAAACTTCTTGCAGATAATTTTAATTTTTCTATTGCTATAAAAATTCGTATTTAAGAGGTTTTTGAGGTGTGGAAAACGAATTTCAACTTCATATCAAAAATATTTACTCACATATTTCTACGTTAGTTGGTCCAAATTGGCTGGTTTCTATAGTATTTTTTTTTTTTTTTATAGGGAGAAACAAAGTTATGTGTCCAATATTTTTCGATGTAGTTTCACTGAAATAAAATTGGTTGAAATCGGTGACCCACTGACTCTAGCCTCCCCTTGTAAAGCCCTTTTCTGATATTCAACTTCAAAACTCTTTTAAAATGGCTGGCCAATAAAAAAAAAATTACAATTTTTTTCAGGTTGAAATGTCTTCAGAAAGTACTACAATGACAGAACAAACACACAAAATTTTCCCAAACGGAATACTATCCCTTACCATATATTTCATATATAAGTAAATGAAAGTAAAAAGGGGAATTTTTTTTCACTTGAAAACTTTTAAAGCGATAAATATCTCGTATTACTTTAATTTTCAGAAGTTTTTTGAACCACTTTCCTTATTTCTTATTTGATACGTTGTACGAAAAAATGTAGAGCAGACATTGCTTTGTTTTATTTTGATTTGATATCTGAAAAATTACCATAAATATTATCAACAAGTTTTTCAAGTTCAGTAGAAAAGAGGATTAAAAATGGCCACAAAGAGAAATGTGTGTAAATAACTGATGATAAAAATTTAAAATGTAAATTGGGTAATTTCAAGTCGGTTAACTCAATTATAATTTATTAATTATAACTTACAAACATTAAGAACAGAATTGTGAGTATAAGCACTAATATATCCAGGCCGAGAGTGATGGTAGTAATTGTATTGTATGTGGTTTGAAGTAGGTGGGAATATCTGGAAAAAACAAAATTGAATAGAATGGTTCAATTTTCACAAACGTGAAAACTGACGGTTCAACTACATCACTATATTAGTTCATATTTACAAATAAAATTTTAATTGTTACGCATTCTATGTTACCTTAGCAGTTTATTGTAATCCAGTAGGATTTTTCTTAATTCCATGTTAAAAGCAATGTTATTAGTGGCATCATCTTTAGTTTTTATCAAGCCCTTGTAGTTTTTATTCAGAGTAGATGTGTGGTAGCCAAGGACAATGAAGTGAGAATACAGAGCAACCAACAATATTAGAAGAAAACTCTCGTATAGAGATACCAACGAGCCGTGCCAGCAAATCAGGATCACCTCGTACCCGAAAACTATCTCATACCAAGGACTTTCCGAATATGGAACTGGATACCAGCCACTCAAAATCTTCTTCCTTCCTGTTCCTGTCTTCTCCGTGTCGAATCCTGGCAAGATGGTCCACGTTATAATCGTGAGGACGTTCCCAGTAAAAGCCAAGACAGTGAAAATATTACACCTGAACGCATTCTGCTGATAAATGCTGTTAACGTGGTGTCTCTTCGAGTCAGGGATACTTGACAGAAAATCGACTCTTAGTAAATCGACCAAATCACACTGATCCTTGAAACGATACCAGAATACAATTATTTTAATCAAGACTTGAGCAGCTGACACACCGTTCATGTACACAAAAGTCGCCATTTTGAGATCGACAGAAATGATGAAAATACACAAACACTGAAAGACGACATAAGGGAAAACATACAGAGTACTCAGTGTCATGTTGAGCTTGAACATCCTACTCGTTTTCCGAGTGCTTCTGTAATCGTTGATTCCATCCCAAAGCCCATAGAATTTCAAGTGGGCAATGTTAAGACCGTAAAAGAGATCTGACTTCTGTAGTCGTTCCTGGTAGATCATGCCTCCTACAACGGTCAACGCTGTATTAACGTTTGGGCTAAAAAAGGATAAGTGGTTTAAGAGTTTTAGTGCCTATTAACATATTTATAATTCCATTTCCGGCAATTAATAAAAGATAGCCAATCAATATCAGTGTTTCTTTTGTTTTTTAATTGCTTGTAGCTTACAAGGACCTTATAAATACAAATTCCTTCATTTATATCAATGAACCAAAGAGATATAAAATGCATGGAGTCCCTTCAGAAACTAATACTAAACAGTATTTTGAAAAATTAAATAAGTATTATGAGGTGAAACAAGAATATGTTATGTGGTAAGCTGGGGTTTTCTGACGCCAAGGTAAAATATTGTCTATTAGACAGTTACTTTCTGCTAACTTTTTTTTATTATTATTAAATAAGTATAATGTCTTAGTGATGTTCACATTTGAATTTCCAATAAATTAGGTATTATCTTATAAAAAACAATAAAATTGATGTTCGCAGTTATTAAATTTTAGTTGAATATCGGTCCAAAATCAGCATGTCATCTCACATAATGAATGCGTTCCTATAATAGAATTCATGAACTTTGCCAATTTATGAAGCGATGACATTATTTATAACTTTGGAGGAGAAAAAATATGTCTTTAGTAAATTATTATCCTTTATCTGATCATTACAAAATCATGACATTTTTTTTTCCTTTCATGCACTAATGAAAAATATCGTCAAACTGTTAATGTTTTTATTGTATTATTATATTTCATTTATTGATATGATGGGATCTAATTCACCTCGCCTTATGACAAGCATGTTTATAACAACGGCAACAAAATTTTTATAATCAGTGAAATGACAACACAGCTTCCAGAATGGAATTTGTAAGGAGATAAAGCACGTTCTTTTCTAGCTAAAATTATTGGTGAGTTAAATTCTGGAAATTAGGAGTAACTTAAAGATAACAGTTTCTTAAAAATACATCAATGTTTACTTTAAATTCTAAAATTATCGATGGTCCAAGATTTGAAGATACAAGTAACAAAAGGATTTCTATTAAAAAACTAAATTCTTCCTCGTTGGGTTCAGACAGTAGACAAATATACCTTCATTTTGTTTATAAATTATTTTTTTGTTATAATCTGTTTAACTTTTCGGGAAATGTTCTTCCCATGATTAGAAATATTATTTACAATTGGTGGTCTGTGATGAATTGATTCTACAATACAAGGACTAAAATATTGGTACTTTTTTTTAATCTTATTTTACTATACATAATAGTTTACATAATTTATCTTTTTGCTATGGTACCGTTGTTAATGTATAAAAGATGTTTGTTAATTTTTTATGATTACATATATTGAGGAGCCATTCTTTCATTTTATTAAGATGCACTTATTGGTTACTTCTGGCAATGATTTGACCTTTGCCAGAAGTAACCAATAGTTATGAAATAATTTTCTTTCTTAACTTTGGTTAGGAGTTCAAATTTGATAATTCCTTTTAAAAAAAAATGGAAATAACCTAGACCTAATTATTACAATAATTTAAATTTGTATTAATTATATTAACATATGTAAGCTTCAAATGCAATAATAAGAAATCACATTTAATAATTATAATGAGTTTAATAAACACATACAGATCCAGAAATGAGTGAGAGATACGACAGGGCGATCACCGTTTTCTCACCTGACGGACGAGTCTTACAGGTGGAATATGCCCAAGAAGCAGTACGTAAAGGATCCACAGTAGTCGGTATCAGGGGAGAAGACACTCTAGTCCTTGGAGTGGAAAAGAGGACGGTGCAGGAGCTGCAGGTGGAGCGCACGGTGAGGAAGATCTGTTCGCTGGACGAGCACATCATCTTGGCCTTCGCGGGGCTGACAGCGGACGCGAGGATCATAGTGAACAGGGCGAGGATCGAGTGCCAGGCACACAGGCTCACCCTGGAGGACCCGGTGTCTGTCGGCTACATCTCCAAGTTCGTCGCTGAGCTGAAGCAGAAGTACACGCAGAGCAGTGGGAGGCGGCCGTTCGGCATATCCTGCATCATCGCTGGCTTCGACCCGGACGGCTCGCCCCACCTCTTCCAGACCGAGCCCTCCGGGGTCTACTACGAGTGGAAGGCCAACGCTACTGGCCGAGGAGATAAGGCAGTGAAGGATTTCTTGGAGAAGAATAATCTATTGAAGTTGGACTCGGAAGATAGCGTGATAAAGCTGGCGTTGAAAGCGCTGCTGGAGGTTGTACAACCGGACAAGAACAATTTCGAACTGGTTGTTCTCAAGAAAGGGCAGGGGGTGGTTAAGGTTGAAGATGAAGTGATAGGGCGGCATATCACACAAATATCCAAAGATAATGAAGAAGAAAAGAAAAAGGCTAAACTACTTTAGTTCGAAAGTGTTCGTGTTTTATTATAAATATTCGCTTCTTGTTTTACGAATCCAGATTTTAATTTATTTCCCTATTTTATAGTTTTTACCGTGAAATTGAACTCATTGTACAAGTATTAAAATATATAAATACAATCCTTCTCTACAAGCGGTAGTGAGGACGCAATAATAGAAACAGGATTTAATCCAAGAATTTATTACAATTAAAAACAAATAAACATAGTTATGAAAGTGAAAAATTGAAAACACATGTATTATTAATTTTTTTTACATATTACTACAAAAAAGTTTTAAAACTGCTTAGGAAATGAGTGAGGAAATACATGCTCATCCGGAAGAACGGTTCCTACTCTGAAAATCCAATTGATTTCTGATATCTATAAGTAAGACACTTTTACAGGCCCAAATCGATTTACTTCACTTATTGGATTCTTTTATTTTTGCTTCCTCACTACCGAAGGTAGGGAAGCATTGGATTCGTGTGAGAGATTAACAAAGTTTTGTGCTCAGAATCAAAAATTTCCACTTGCGTTTTACGTTTCAGGCATCAAGGATCAAATTTGGTTCAGCGTCTGTCTGTAGTCAAATTGATGTGACGGGCATATCACCTACTACCTCTCATCCGATTTTCATGGAATGTTCAGAGATTGTGCGGGCTGGTTTCTAGGTGGTTCCATATCAATTTCATTAAATTCCATCTATCACTTCCGTTTGCGCACGCATAAATGTATTTTCATAGATATGCCTATATTTCGGAAACGGCTCATTCGATTTGACTCAAAGTTGGTATTGGTGGAAAAATAATTTAGTGTCAGTTTCATTGAATTCTGTCGACTACTTTCTCCTATGCGCAAACGCGTATTCCTTGATACGTCTATATCTATAAAACCGGGAATTAGGGATTGGTAAACAGATAGATATTCATGTTTCAATTGTATCAATCTACGACTCTAAAAAAAAAAAAGACTTCCGATTTCGGAACAGTAAACGTATTATTTTACACGTTTGACGCGTGTACCGGATTTTTTTAACCTGTTTCGACGTAGATCTTTTGGAAAGAGCTCAGTTATCTTACAAAAGATCCACTTTTATATTTATCCACTTGAAGTTTTTGTTTTAGTTATTTAGTAGCAAATAATTATTTTTTACATTACAAAATTTCCGCTAATATTATATATAACACGATAACGATGTTTTGTATGGTAATTAGTTATTTCAAATTAATATGTTATATCTTCTATAATTTTAAGTTCCATACATATGAAACAGCTATTTTTACTGAAGTTAGAATAACAAATGAAAGTTGTGTGGTGCGCAATGAGCACCTGTATTTTTTTCAATGTTAGCAGCGTTCAACCTCTTTAAATTTGAATTTTTTCCTTTTATGAGAACCAGTTGTGAATCTATTCAGTAGTATATAGTACAGTGTAGTAATTTGATAAACATTTTATTGATCATAAAACCACTTATTAGATAATTCCTGAGACGTATAAATGTTGGAATATTTCTTTCTCAACTAGAATGACAATTCATTTTCTTCTTATTCATTTCAAAACACAGGAACATCTACATCTATATTTTCCAAGGACAAACATTAGCAGGATAAATATAGATGAGTTTGTGACAATTCACCTAGTTCATTTGAGAAAAGCAAGTTTTGATAACCGGCAGCTTGAAGCTTTAATAAAATGAGTGATGTACGTTTCAGTTTGGTCTGAAGATAAACTGGAATTCAGCTTTAATATCAATCTTATTGTTATCACCGCATCTAGATAACATTTGGCATCTACTCAAATACTCCACACAGAAGTGGTATAACGCTGAATTTTGTTACAATTAAAATTTATTTAAGGAAAAATTCAATAAATTGTTTTGTTTTTAATCTATGAAATATTCTTAAGTCATTCCATGCCAAATCATCCATGAGCCGATCATCAATTAAAATGTGTAAAGTATAAAAAAAAGATTAAATTTTTCCCAAATTTAAGTATTTACTAGAATTATAGACGTTTTTTTCAGAATTGAAGTGGCAAGGTGGGCAATTAGAACTGAGTACCAGGTTGTAATATATTTGGGCTTGCCCACGTAAAATCAATATTCATTCATCAAGTATATAGGAGGCTAGAGACTCCGAAAATAACTCATTTGTTCAACATTTTATGGTAAACCAAATGATAATATGACACCATTATAATTTATGACCACGGAAAGCATGATTTTAAATATTAAAAAATGTAACTTTTTAAAGTACTTTTTGTAGGTTGCCGTACTAACCAGAGTGGGACGTCATTATTCTATTTGGAACTGGTAGAAATTAAATACTAACTTACCTAAGGGGGGATCGAATCCACTAGGTTCCGAACCGAACAGAAAGTTCATATTTACTGTGTAAAGTTATCACCATATAGTTTTTTATTTTATTTTATTTGTTATTTATTTATTATTATTATTACCATGATTATTAAAAGTAGAGTGGCTTATAAGAGAACTATGTCGTTATACCCGACACCTTCATCTTCTTCTCCGGTCAAACAAAAGCCTCTTAAATCTCGTCAAACACCTCCAATGACACCTTTTAGCTCCGAATAACATGAAATCCAGCCAGGTACATCACCACAAGAGAACATTGAAGAACCTCAGCCTTAACCAGTTAGTGTTTCGGTAGTCCCGTTTTCCATGACATATAACTACGCGAAAATACTAACAATTAAAATAAGCATCAAGGTATAGTAAACATTTAATAAAAATAAACACCTCAATTGATATTAATAAAAAATTATACATCAATAAACTTATCATATACCATTCCTCATAGATATATAGAAATATGAATTAATTAGAAACCAACGTTATGATGAAGAAAAGGAAAAGACACATGGAGAAGAAAAAAGGTTTAAGAAGTAAGTATTATTTCTTAAGAAGAAAAATGTTACAATAAATGAGTAAATAAATTCTATAATTATTTTATGACTGATGGGAAGGGGATCGAGATGCAGATAGAAGCATTCCGATCATTTATATCCATTCTCTATAAGTGCAGATGCTAACATGAATTTAACGTCACTACTCGCAATGGTGGAAAATATGGTTTGTGCAAAATGTTTGCTGATTAATAACTTCTTTACCTTATATATATATATATATATATATATATATATATATATATATATATATATATATATATATATATATATATACACTAGCGGATCCAGGATTTATTTTTGGGGGGGCTTCAGCCCGAAAGTGTTTTTTGCCATATAAATGACGATAATTACTTTAGAAAAAAAGAAGAAGCTAATTACCTGTATGAAATGGTGTTTAAGTGATTCCTAAAGCCCTTTTAAATGTAATTACACGAACAACAATACTTTAAGAGATACTTTTTTAATATTTTTTTCGATAAAACATGGTTATATTTTAGCATTTTGGGGGGGGAGGGGGCTTCAGCCCGAAGGCCCCCCCGTAGATCCGCCCGTGTATATATATAAGATAAAGAAGTTATTAATCAGTAAAAATTTTGCACAAACCATATAACCATATAAGAAAATTCCTATAGGAGCTAGTACATTTTGAATCAACTTATTAAAGTAAATTTTTAACGAGAAAACATATATATATATAATTTGTTTTTTGGATAAGCAGACTTATAAATTTGACTGATTCTCTACTGAGGTCCCAACATTACAATATTTATAACACGTTTCATGTTATTGTTAAGTAGGTACTTATTTAATTAGTTATATTTAATTTGCAAATATTTTAAAAATGTGAGTTGATAATATTTAATCATTTATAAGAAAATTCCTACAGGAGCTAATACATTTTGAATCAACCTATTAAAGTAAATTTTTAACGAGAAAACAGAATACGAATAGCTGATGAAATAATTTCCGATCTCTTGTTGGGTATAACACTGTTGAGTAATTGACGCAATAGACGATATAACCTGAAACAAAATCAAAAACATATTAATATACTCTGATAACTGGGTAAGATAAACAGACATTTATAAATATTCCGAATTTCAAGAAACTTATCCAAATATTTCAACAGTATACTTGAAATACAATTTCAAGCTTTTTTTTTTTTTAAGATGTGGCAAAGTGTTGTTTCTAACCTTTTACTTTTCAAAGGTGAAATTTAACGAAAACCCCTTTGAATATACAAAGGTGGAAATGTAAAAAAAATATGATTTGTAATTATAATTTAAAAATTCCCTAAACATATCTTTAATATTTAAGATTATGTTACAAAACCCTTTCCAAAAATAATAATAATGAACCTAATTTTATGAAAACTCAAATAAATCAGGAAAAAAACGGACGGAAGTTCGTTAAATTGTTTAAAAAGTAATAACTAATCTAGAATGATTAGTTCAAAGGCACTATAAGATAAATACTTAAACAATCACAATATATTATATTTTTTCAATTAAAATGCATATGCAGCTACTAAATGTAAGCACGTTTTAAGAAAAAAAAAAGTATCATTTCAATTCAAATAGATAGTTTCTTTCTTATCCTCTAAAACAGAGATCTCCAAACTACGACCCACAAAAGTTTCTTTGATTACATGGTAAAATTTTAAAAGCTATTTAAAAATGTGAAATTTAGCAAATTATACTCATACGAAGTTACTACAACATATATTACATGTTTTTTTTCCTCTTAGATAGCAAATTTCACAGTTGAAGTATCACTTATCGAAAAAGAATTTTTTTTCATCATAAGCCCGCGGGACTTGGGTAGAGGTCTCAATGCGACCATATACAGACATATATATATATATATATATATATATATATATAATATATATATACTATATATATATATATATATATATATATATTCCGTTGGCAAATAAATCCTTTCAGTTTTTCAGGTTGAAATAAAACTCAATGTGTTATAGACATGACATTTATTTTAATCTACAATATATTACCCATTATTTAATATGACTTCTTCCTATATTCTTCCCACTAACTGCATAATGCCATGTTCATAGAATGTCTGGAGATTATTGTTAAAAACACTGAAGCCAAGCCACTGAACCAAAAACCAAGTGGTTTTTGATGTCCTCTTCCTTTTAGAATTTCTTTCCATTCTTGGAGTGCTGCAGAGATCGGAATAAGTGGTAGTCACTTGGAGCTAGGTCTGGTGAATAGGGAGGGTGGGGCAAAAGATCCCATCCAAAACTCAATAATATATTGGGATTATTCATAACTCTTCAGGATGTTCTCCAAATTCGATGTTACAGTATCCGTTGGAAAGCTAAATTATTGCTCTTCAAAGCCGTATGAATGGGTTTTTTATTTAATGCCTACATAAGAAATAAATAAACAAAAACTTCTTAAGGGTTTTTATTATTTATCTCCATTTGTAGTTTGTTTACGACAGTCCTGCCGATGTCATTTTGTGTAGTTTATGTGGCCCTAAATTCCTGTTAAATTTCTTGTGGCCGTATTGAAAGTATAACATTTCTTGTGTTTTTAGAAAGAAATCACGTGAGGGGCCCAAATATTAAGCCTGGAAACATAGCCGCGCTTGTACAAATGGTTTTCTACTCTAGTCCGCGACACATTTAAGGCCATAGCAATCTCTCGCACTGATTGGGTGGGATTTTTAGCAACAGTGGCCTTAACATTGCTCTTTTCAATTTCATGTGGGCGACCAGACCGATGAGTATCATTGATGTCAAAATTTTGATGAAAATTTGAATGAAAATGAAATTTGAAAGTTGACAAACCAATTTTGAAAGGTGCGTTCGGTGAAGGCATCATCCCCATAAACACTCCAAATTCTCCTATGAGCTTCTGCAGCACGCTTACCTTTTTTAAAATAATACAATCAAACATTCCGATAATGAAAGATATTTTATTCCATACTTACAGTGCAATAGGAAACACAATACTAACCTAGTTTCAACAAGAGTTAACAGATATAGTTGTTGACATATTAAAAACAGGACAAACAATTGACCTTTGGGATTAATTAGTCAGATAAGAAGTGTATCATAGTGACATAAAAATAAATAGAAAACCCGAAAGGACTTATTTGCCACCCCAATACATTTAAAGAAAAATACAAAAATAATTAAATCCTGGATCCGCTAATGATGAGGTATAATGGTACTTCTTATTATTAAGTTGTTATTATTATTTCTAATAAATTACTGTTATCAACTTTGAAATTAGTGAAATTGGCAATTAGCGATCAAAATACTTAATAAAAAATTATCCAAAAATATCAATGAAATAACCTACTGCAATAATCAGAGAGTTGTCCAAAGTGAAAAATCCACTACTGGGGTTTACTTCACAATCATTAACAGACAGTTCTAGTGCATCCTGTAAAAAAAAAAATATATATCATATATATCCCTCCAAGAACTGAAAGAATCCAGTACAATGGACCACATACCTTTTTCCAACGTTTGCAATAGCCACCTTCTATCATTTTTTTAATAAGTTTCTCTTTTAATTGCTGTGCCTGAAAGTTTAAATTCTTGTATTCATTTAAAAATAAAACATTTATTTATTTCTCTGGACCATATAATAATACGGAAAATCTACAATTATTTTTTAATTTTATCCGAGCAACAATCAAAGATAGACAAAGTATTGAAAGATAAAAATTTTGTTTTTGCTTTTTTTAGATAGTATATTAGATTTACAGAGTACAAAACATGTTAAATTTTCGTTACACGCAAAAAGATAGCCTTAATGAATGTAATATTTTCTTTTTTAAATAATTTTTTTTTTTTACACAATATTCAGAGTTTTTTTATCTTAATTATCTAAAAACGGAATTTCAAAAGTGAAAAAAATCACAGAAATTTCCTGCACTACCGGAACCAGAGGAGGGACAAATAGCGGGTGCGCCCATCCCTGGAAGTTGAACAAAAATTTATCTTGAAAAGTAACTAAAAAACCAGCAACCATTGAAAAGTTAATTGTATAATTTATTGCATTGCTTATTGTTGTGAATTGTATTGTTTATTATTTATCATATTTATACTTGATACAAAAAAAAAAAATTAAATTTCTCCAAACCATGATTCCACCTCCATGCTTGACGACAGTGGGGCACAAGTTTTTAGCTGCTAACGCTTGATTGGGTTTCAACCACTCTCGAACGTTTTCATCAGATGAAAATAAGGTAAATTTACATTTGTTGGTGAAAAAAATCGTTTCCAAAAAATACTAGGCTCATTCCGATTCTCTTTTGCAAACGATAAACATTTACGTTCATTCACCTTACTATTAAAGGTTTTTTCCTTTGCATTTTTATAAAGTTTCACAGTGTTTGCGGTGTCACTCTAATGGCATAATCATTTTCAAGCATACCTGCAACGGGAGCAGCACTCGTTTTTAGGGATTCGTGGATATTTTTCATAATTTCTCGTCCATGAATCCTTTGCAATTTTTTCGGGCGTCCAGTTCTTGGTCGGCTTTGAAAGTTTTCAGTATCTTCAAACCTGTTGATGATTTTCTGAATTGCGGAATGATGTTTGGAAATTATCCAATAGCTCTCAGTGACTTTCCTTCTTTTCTTAAATTAACAACCAATTTTCGTATTTCAACAGATACCTCCATATTGAGAACAAATATTATTAAATTCACTTCCTTGCATGTCAGTAAATAACCAAATACTGAATAACCTCTGAATCATAAGACCTCAATTTAAGGGATTATCACGTTTTGCACGGGCTGATCTATGGTCTTTGGGGCTGAATAGTATCAAAACTTGATCCTAAGTAAAATTTGTCTTAGTGGAAACTACTTTAAATACTTATTTTAAATTTTTTTTTTTTTTATTAAACGCCTCTGCCGTTGGCTATTAGGCCATTCGGCTTCTGGCAGCCCAGTACAACTCCACCATGAATCGTTTGTTTAAATTTGTTCCGATCCCATCAGAAGTACTGCGGACATCTGACAGAGCGGGGCAAACTGAGAGGTGCAGGTCGTACATCTCGTCCTGTTGGAAAGAGGACCCACAGGAATTTCCACCACTCCGATCAGATAGTAAATAGACAGCTGTTAAAACTTTAAACTAAATAGCTTTAAAAAAAATTGGGTAACTTTGCACTGTACACATGTCCTCCGGTTATAACTAAATGAGCAATATTGTCGCCTCAAAGATTTATTTTAAATAGATTCACAACAAATATTTTCATGATAGAGCACTCATTGAAATCAAAAACATTAAAATTCCTTTTGGAAATAAATGTACCCAGACTGTTTAGATAGTGTGCCTACCCATCACAACATTTTTGGATCCGCCACCGATTTTCTATGATTTGATTTAAAAAAGAATATTGCATAAGCTATTCATAATATCATTATAACTAGATTAAATTTTTTAAAATAAAATAAAAAAAAATTGTGACTTTTTAACGAGTAAACTATTATGATGTACGGATGTAATAAAATAAAAAAAAAAGTTCTCTTATCTCATTTTGCAAACTAAATTCTGCTCTACCTCATTAATAATAAAATATTCATACTTTGAGATTTTTATTATGACTTTAAAATTAATTTATTGTATGAATTTACTTGTTCTTGGGAGGCATTTCAACTCTTCATGGTGCAGTTGTCACTTGAAATTAAGATACCATATAACGAATAACTCATTCATTGCGTGAAAACAAAGCGATTCTGCCATTAAGTCACTCTAGTTACCATATAGCAATTTTTTTCAGTGAAATTCAGTTATAAATTATCATTGTAAATATTTTTATAGAAACAAACTAAAACATACCTCAGCTTTCACGAGGTCGTACGAACAAATTATTGTCACCAGTGGAATAATATTGTGCAGAAGATCGAAAATTAACTTCTCTTTAAAAAACTCTGAGTTGTTGTGGTGTATAATAAGAGGGGTGGAGAGATTTGAGATGATTTGGATGAGATAATGAGTCGTTAAAAGGAATATTGAAGGGTTGTAAACGGCTTGGTCAATCTGTTGCAAGGTAATGAAACATTTAAATATTGTAGACTTATCTACATCCTCCAGCTTATTCTCGTGTCGTAGGATGTATTGTAAAACGTGCAAAACTTCCAAGAACTGGCATATAAAACTAACACCATAGAAGAAAGAGATGTAAGAAAAGAAATATCGAAAAGCGTTGTACCAAGTTTCAGAGAATTTGCAAGCGTAGCAAGAAAATAATAAGGGTGGAGTGAGAAGGAAACTTATATACCTTGGCCGATTTCTTTTGAATCTGACATTGGGACATTTATTAACAAGTTTATTGATATTTTTTATAAAGTTATAAACCGTTCTTCTCCTTCTTATCCACCAAAAAACTGGTACCACATAACTACAAACATTGCAAATAATGCTCAACCTATTGAATGACATTATCACTGGATGGAAGCCTTGTTCGAAGAACGATAACCTCAGTGAACGATGTATGAAAGACAAAATAAAGCCGACGAAAAAGCTATAAGATAACGATTTCTCAGAAAGACGAAATTTTCTGTCGAAGGGAAACCATCCCAAAATCCTCGGTATCTTGAATATTTCAAGTAAAACTTGGTTATAGCCGGCTTTGGCCATGACTAAAGAATGTTATGTTGTGTTTCCATTAGCTGATTGATATTTCTATCACTTCGATCGCAACTGTCTTTTACATAACAATCAGTCGTCAAACAAACATTCATTTCATAGGCGGCCAGGTCACTTCTAAAACAAATTACGTCATAAAACCTATCCCGGTTGTCATAAATGACATTGTTAGTAAAACCCCTTTTTTACTGTAATATTAAAGTTTTCTACTGTAATATGCAAAGATAAGAACGGTATTGTATGTATTTGTCATAATTGTACTCAATGTATTTTTTCGTGCGAGAATACAAATTTATTCGAAAATTTCCACTCGCGTTTTACGTTTCACACACCAAGGATCAAATTTGGTTCCGTATTGAAATTCTTTGTTTTAACTTAATTTTTTTTTTTTTATTGTAATGAAATTTACAACTGTATTACATGAAAAATTCAACAAGTAAATTCGACATTGGTAACATAGCATGTACAACATGAAGGGAAACTACCCATTGATAGAACTCAAATGAAAATTTCGGCAGCGCCACTTCACGTTAATGAACAATTTGTACGCTTCCAAGTACAAACTTGGTTTCCCCCCTTCAACCATCAGAGAGGATCGGTCGTTATAATCTTAGTTTTATCAAATCACACCACTTTGAAAAATAAAAATTATATGTGAATAAAAGTTTTGCGTTTGAAAGTATTCAGTATATTAAATAGCCCAACATGATTTTGGAAATTCGTTTGATAACTAACACAGCTGTAAACACAAGTTCAATGTAAAATAAAGGTATGCATTAAGAAGGGTGCCCAGGAGGGGTTTTGAATTTATGAGGAGGGCAGATTTCGACGGGATTATGAATTTTTGAAATGAAAAGTTTCAACCCAGGAAAACACATGAAACTGACCACGGAAAGTGCATTTATATGAGATCTACATTTTTCCTAATTCTGCGCTTCCACTTTTTTTAAGAAGGACATGTTTATAAAGTAAAGGGACTTTTAACTTGGCATAATACCCCGCCCTCTCCCCAGGCCCGGGAAAAACCCAGTGTAGTTAAAAGGCAAGGAAGGGCAAAAAAAAATGGAAAAGAACGTGCAACCATATTGTTCACTCCCAACATGGATGTGTTTGGAGATTAAAAATTAAGACCGTTCATGATAGGTAAGTCTGTAAAACTTAGATGTTTTAAAATCATTTCCAATGACTTATCGTGCCAATAAAAAAACATGAATAACACAAGAAATATTTAATGAATGGTTTAAATCAGTATTTTTTTTTTTTTTTTTGCTCCCTATTATTGGAAATCTCGATAATTCGTATTTTACTCTCGGTCCCTTGACAATACTAATTATCAGGATTCTACTGTAGTATATTAACCAGCACACTCGACTTTGTTTTTAAAAATTATTTTTCTATGTAAGGATGGAAATGGTTTGGGATGGCAGTTATAAATAAACTAAATAGTGGCAAAACTATTTTATTAAAAGCCAACGTTTCGACTCGACTTTGCAGGTCTTCTTCAGGGCTAGAACGGACAAGATACAAAAAAGATATAGAGAACTTATATCTACGGGGATTCAGAAAACGATGGCAAAAGATTAAAATAACAACACAAGAAACATCTCGTCACGATTACTCACATCTTATGTTATAGCTGAATAAGTGGTCTGTCTAATGATTTCTACAGATACCGTTTTGGCCACTAAGTAGTGTTATTTTGGTTTTATTCTTAGATTTTATTCCTAGATAATAAAGAAATTTTTCATTTAATTTCATAATGGATTAATTGGGATTATTAGTATGTATTAAAATCATTACCACTATAATCAGATAAGACTATCGAATTTCTGCTCGCTACGCTCACTCGAGAGATAAACTAACCTTAAATAGTTCCTTTTCAGTTG